TAGCTAGCTAAATGCAAGCTAAAAGCAACATAAGGCTAGCTAAATGCGAATTTACTATGAATTTAGCTAGCTAAATGCAAGATAAAAGCAGCAAAAGTCTTGCAAAAGGATGTCCAAAAAGTATGAAAAAGCTACCGGTAGATAAAAATAACAGGCTAGCTAGATGCCCCAAAATAGCAAAAGTTAAAAGTAGCTAAATGCTAGCTAAAGTGGAAGCTAAAAAGTAGTAAAAGACAAAAACAAAAAAAGCAAGTACGCTGGAGCAGATTTTAAAAAGTAACACCGTTCGTTTCTCAGAATGATCTACAGAAAATGTTTTTCGAAGGGGAAATATTTTACAAATTATTAGAATTAGAGAACACAAAAGTCACAGCAGCCATCTCCTAAAAGCGCTGAACAGGGTTTATGAAAGGTGACAACAGAACAAAGTGTGCAGAAGCAATTAGACTGCAAAACCATAAAAACTAAAAACCAGGAAAACAATCATCTCATCGCTGAACTGCTTTTTAAACAATGAGCTAATTAAAGCGGCTCTGATGGTTTAATCCAGGACTCTTTGGTCTCTTCGCTTCCAGCGGTTCGCAGCAGCGCTCAGGGCTGACGTGATGCGAGTGAAGGCAGGAATAATAAAACTCAACCTTCAGCTCGGATCTTTGGACACGTCGGATTCACCGGAGCACGAGAGCGACGGAGACGAGCAGAGGCAGCAGGAGGTCAGAGCGGACACGTCTGCCTCCCGAGGTGAGCGTCGCCCCGTACTGATCCAGGAGCTGCAGGGCCACGCCGTTGGTCCAACCGAAGCCCAGCTGCAGCAGGAGGTGGAGAAACAGCAGCTCAGACGTGTCGCTTCTATTTTTACTAAATACATTTAAAAAACAGCCGAAGCTTCCGGCAGAAATGCTTGCAGCTCAGTCCTGAACAAGAAAACACTCGTGGTTTTCTATTTTTGTTTGTTCCAGCCGAGAGAGGGAAAGAAGTGAGAAGGTTTCCACTCAAACATGCAAATTATTTTTAATTGTTTTGTTGTGGCGGCCATCTTGAATCGGGTTGACTCTAAAAGTTAATCAGTAAAGTGATTACTTCCTTTATTTGAAATCAGTTCAGTGATTCATGAAATGTTTTGCCAAAAGTACAGAGAAAAAATGAACGGAGACAAAACCATCAGCGCTCCACCTTCTCCTCTGGCAACAGGAGAACCAGCACCACCCCGCCCCCTTTATTTACAAGACTTCACATGAACTCGGAACTGATCCTTTGACTACATCAGATTTACAAACACAAAGAGTCATACCTGAACTTCATATTCTCCTCCTCCTCCGGGTTTTCCATCTCCGTTCACATCGTACTGTCGGGAGGGGGTTCTGAGTCAGCAGAGTTATTTCAGAGCATCGTGAAGATCTGAACGCTTCAAGGGACACTCACTTTCTCAAACATGGCGTCGTACTTGACGTAGGCCAACCAGTTGGTTCTGATCCAACGCTGAGCCAAACTGAACGCCAGCTCTTTAGCTTCTGTTGACGGCAGCTTGGATAAACCTGGAGAAATAAAACAGAACGCACTCGAGTATGGGGTGTCGTTTGTGAAGTTACACAGCCAAAAATTAATTCAGCAATATTTTTGGTTTATTTAGCCTTGCATAAGAAAAAAATATATAGTTTTTTATTTCAGTCATATTTTCACCATGTTATTCATACATTTATAAATGTCATATTTCCAATCTATATACTTAATTTACAAGCTACATATTTAGTTTACAAATTAAATATTTAATTTACAAGCTAAGTATTTAGTTTACAAACTAAATACTTAACTTGCAAGTTAAATATTTAGTTAGCAAGCTAAATATTTAGCTTACAAACTAAATGTTTATGTCCAAGCTACATACTTAGTTTACAAACTAAATATTTAATTTACAAGTTAATTTAGTTAGCAAGCTAAATATTTAGCTTACGTCCAAGCTAAATGTTTAATTTACAAACTAAACACTTAACTTGCAAGTTAAATTTTTAGTTAGCAAGCTAAATATTTAGCTTACAAACTAAATGTTCATGTCCAAGCTAAATATTGAACTTGCAAGTTAAATATTTAGATGGTGAACTAAATATTTAGGTGTAAATTAAGTATTTAATTTCCAAGCTAAATACACATTTTCAAAATTAAACATTTAATTCCTAAACTAAATATTTAATGTGCTAACTAAATATTTAGATTGGACCTAAATATTTATTTTCCAAGCTAAACATTTAATTTCCAAAATATTTAATTTGCTAATTAAATATTTAGCTCTGACCTAAATATTTAACTTGCATGTTAAAAATTTAGTTTGCAAATTAAACATTTATCTTGGACATTAACATTTAGTTTGTAAACTAAATATTTAGTGTGGAGTTAAATATTTAGCTTGTTTAGTTTGGAACTATGAACTTTATAAATGTATGAATAACAGTGAAAATACGACTTTGAAAAAAAAAAATTTTTTCTTATGAAATCCTAAAACCAAAATATTGCTGTTAATTAATTTTTGACTGTGTAACTTTACAAACGGCACCCCACACTCGGGACACAAGCAAACACCAAATAAAGTGAATTTTTAATCGCCTGCTCCTGAAAGGCTAAGATGGACAATAATGTCAGCATGTTTGCGAATCTGTTAGCAAAATATCACATGAATTAAAGGACAGGTTATAACTGAGACTTTCAAAAAGTAATCATTAAATCAAAAAGTAATCATTAAATCAAAAAGTAATCATTAAATCCAAGCATTCTTTAAAGGCAGGTTTTAACAGAAATAATTCTGTTTTCACTCAAAACGTCAGTAAAAACAGCGTCAGTCAGAAGCTACACGACAGCAGGGGAGCTGTTGTTTTTATGGCTCTGTTGTGCTTTTTTTCCTCAAACCGATCCAATCTGTTACCTGATTTCAATTCAGCTGAGCATGTTTTTCACTTCATGAACAGCAAAAAGCCCCTGAAGCAAGAAGAAACTAGAGAAAGGTTCTGTTCAGGCCCATCAGAGCATCACGCCGAGGAAGGCGGCGGATAAATAAAAAAAAAATGAAGGGGCTGACAGGAAGCAGCTCCTCCAGCTGTTTCTCTCATGAGGATGTAAATTCCCTCAAATTAAAGCCAAGAGACAAAAGAGGCCAACGTGGAACTAAAGTCCAAAAATTAACAAAGTTTAATCAAATTTCTGCTTTTCATCTCGGTAAATGTATGAGGAGCTCCATTTCATAATTTTCAAACACAAACAAAAAAAAAAACTAGAAAATCAAATTTTCTGTGATGATCAGTGAAAATTCTGAGCTGAACGTCTCAGAGTCTCAACAATGAATCGTTAAAGCTAAAACAAGCCGAACACAAGCTAAAGCCACAAAAACTCTAAGTAAATAACAAAACAGTAGCTAAATGACACAAATAAACTTCCAGTTTCTGTAGGTGAGACTGACACCGTCTACTTTTAAGATGAGGCTGAAAACTTTTCGTTTATGATAAATCCTATAGTTAGGGTTGACTTGGGTTTCCTGAGCTATCCCATAGTTCTACTGCTATAGTCTTAGACTGCTGGAGGACAAACCGACCATCTCCTCACTCTGCTGCCGTCTTTACTCACTACTGTTCATGTTTGTATTCGCAAATATTTAGGCCATAGGAACCACATGTGGACCACACCTGGACCATAGGAACCACATG